TTCATTAAACAGAAGGTAGGTAACGGGGGTTCTTCCTTCTATCTCCGGTTATAGCAATACAGTATTTAATTGGGAAGAGAATCAAAAGGTGTTTCATCAGTATCCACTCGCACCTGCTAATTTCACCCTATATGTACTTATAATGAAGCTAAAATTAGGGGAAACAAAACCCCTACCCTTTTTCAGCGCACAATCAAAAAGTCAAGACCGTACTTAAAATCAATCGCTCACTATATGTACAAAATCTAAAAAAAATTTGAATCGGTACTGGAGAGTACCTAGTGTTACAAAATGAGTGAAGTTAATTTCGAACATCGGATGGTTATTTAAAGTTCCTCGGGAAAGAGTGAAATGGTGCAACAGTTGTCCATGAAAGAATGATCCAAGTACCTATACGGTAGGTACTCATTGCCCATCTTATTTTGAAGTTAAAATACCTACTGGTTGAACAATTTCAGTGATGGGTCGAGATTTGATTCCGGATGACCCAAGATTCGATAGACCGGTTGAGGTAAGAGTTGAGGAAACCAGCACAAGTACAATATTCAAGATTATAGGTACCTACATGAAGATATGGATATGAAAAAACTGCTAGATGGATTCCTCTACTCCTTACAGCAGAGCAGAAACTTGTGGGAAAAGAAATTTGTCAGGAGGGTGAGTATTTAGAAGCTTTGGCGAACGATGATTGTCACATGCGTGGGTGTTTTACTGGAACCCTCCCACAAAACAGGAAGCGATGCATTGGGTCCATGACGGGCTATCCACTCCCAAAAAAGGGAAAAACCAGTCTTGGTGACTAGTTTTTCTCATCGAATACATGGGAAAAGGAACCACGAGTAATAGTGAGGTTGATTTACGGTGATTGAGGGCTTGTAGAGAGAGCACTTATAGTAAAACGACTGAACCCATGGCAAACAAAAACGGCGCTATCACAAACTGATCTGAAAATAGCAATAGCGTCATTTGCTTAAGCAAATGATTAATGGTAGGTTTATACAATCATTATCATTAGTTCACTATCAAAAATCATTAAGAAATAGCCAATAGAAACAAAGGTTTATCGCGCGTTGCTAACCAACAAAACCATCCTGAGCTTAGTGAACTAATGATAATGATTGTATAAACCCACCATTATGTTTAGATGGAATGAAAAAGCTGGAGAAATGCTGAAATTTATAATTGCAGACGGTACAATATACAGAATGCTAAAAAAATGGTGAATCAACATCATACTGGTTATGAATAAAATGCTCAAATAGATCCCATTTCATCACTAATTTTGAAAGATATTGACGTATTAAGAATGAAATGTAGACTTTTTACAATCGAAAAATGTTGAGTATAACAGTCTTATTTTAGTAGAATAGAACGATGAAATCTTATAGCATTGTATTTTTCTTAAAAGATCAAATTTGGTGATTTGATGAATTAAAAGTTTTTGATCCCAAATGCTTTCAAAATCAATTCAAATCTATTCATCAGTTAAGAGAGTACACACAGAGTGTGGCAGAGTCAACTAGGTAATCAGTTTTGAAGAGCATTAAAAAATAATCCTAGATGTACAGAGACAGAATGTTTTCATTTTCTAAATTAATAGAATATGCCTTTTTTACATTCATCCAGTTTTGAAAATAATTCCTCAAGATAGCGGCCGTTGGCATCAACCTATTGTTGTAGATGTAAGACAATGGATATGAATAAAAGTGTTATGTATATGCAACCATGCGCGCGTCGGTCATATAGACACAACCAACGATATACATATATACGATACGCACGGGTTGTCATGTCAGCAGCACGTTCATTTTTTATCTTGTATTTGTGTTCAATAAATTAGTATTAGAAGTATCATTATTGTGTATCAATTATTACAAACACTACAAAAAGGGAGCATATGCTTATACTTGCAAAATTCAAAGTAAATACTCGTAAATGCCCGTTTCCACTGGGCTGCTCAGCAGCTCTGCACTGCGTCCCGTCCCGTGGCTAAGCGGTGCTGCTAAGTCGCCCAGTGTGAGGGGGCACTTACGAGTACCTATTTACTTTGAATGTTGCAAGTATAAGATTTGCTCACGTTTATTCATATGGGCCATTCTCTGAAGTTTCGAACAGCTCTTGTACATATATGTCGTGGGTATGGTGTTCACTTGTGTGGTAACATACCCCTATAGTTTTCCACGACGTAGCTTGGCAAAAAGGTGACGTCGGTGACGGTATTCAAATCCTACCTGAGTTTGAGTAATAAATGATAAATGAGATAAAAAAGATGGCTTTGCGCGTAGCTTTTTTTCAGTGCCAACTGTAAGTACCTATAGGATACCTCAAGATTCCAGGGCCGGCTTGGGGCCTCAATATCCCGCTCCCAGATTGGACAGAAACTCTGTTTCGGCAGCTGGGCTACTTTACCTCACCCAAATTTCCCGCTCCCCGATGGGACATACTCAGTTTCGGCTCGTCCGGTATTTATTATAAGCGTTATGAAATATACTTTACGACCTATTCTCATTCCTACTAAATATACAAAAGATTCATAAAAATCAGCCGAGCCGTTTCGGACACAAAAACAACAACAACCGCTTACGGATGCTCTCCTGATCGCCATTAAAAACAAGATGCCGAAACGAAGCAGCGTTAGTGCTCTTCGAGACGGCGCAGACAGTTATCCCCTCCTAAAAATGGCGCGGTTGCCAGCTCTCAAAAATGTGTTCATCATCATAGGTTGTATAATGGTTGTATATACAGAATACAGGGTGGAACCTCTCAAGGTTCATAAAGCGGGACACCTGTCCACAACACGAGAGAGCTTATCCCACGGATTTTAACGCCAAGAGAGCCACAGCTAAAGTAAGCTGAAGCCGGCCCGTGTGGCGCAATTCAGTTGAAGCTGAACTGTGGTGCTAGGGTCCCTGGTTCGAATCCGGGTTCGGGCATGGATATTTGTAAATGTATAGTGGGTTGGGTTGGTAGAGCAGCCTTGGCTAACCCCGCCCACTCAAAAATAAAGGCAAAAAATAAATAAATAAAATAAATAGTGGCTAGTAATTTCTACGATTTACTTTAAATACCTAGTGTACAGAGTTACCAAGTATCTTTACTGTGCCAATTGCAATTTCTTGATATGCACTTTGTTTGGTCACAGAGAATCTCGGTATTTACTGTTATCTAGTCTACCTATCTAATTTGTTACCGTTAAACTTTACAATTAGAAATTCAGTTGTACTGTTCTTCAACATGGTTGCCACACTTACCGTCAAATAGAACTTTAATATCTATCAGAAATAGCCAGGTTAATCTTTTCATGTTTCGGAGGCGTTCCTGAATAGTACAGTTGGTGTTGATTAGCCATTTTTTGATCACTCTGTATATTATATTTTCCAAAATTAAGAAAATTTGTCTTGTCTTAGGAACTAACTGTAATAATTATAAATTACCCGAGAGCAGACATGTAGACTCTTTTTTGATCGCAGACAAATTGGTGTAAGAAACTAGTGCTTATTCTACCTACCACTCTACTTCTACCAATCAAACGTAGATATCAAACCTTAACTTCGAACTATTTTTAGCGCATTTCCACAAAAATAAAACAAATGCTATTGTGGCCACTTTGTCCGTCCGTCCGTCCGTCCGCTCGTTTTGCGACGCTACTAGTTCTTTATCTTAAGAGCTATTGTTCTACTTTTTTCGCTATTTGGTTCGTTATGGTGTCGAGTCTTGTACCAAGGAAGGAATTTTTTCTGTACCGCTTACAAAAAAGTTATTGTAAAAAAAACAAAAAACCGTTTTTTACATGTTCCATAATTTTACACTTTTGCCGTTTATTAACGATCCTAGAGATCGTTTATAATTTTGCATTGCTATCTGTCGTCTGCCTGTTGGTCTGTCCGTCTGTTCCTTTGTCTGTCTGTCCATCTATCTGTCCGTGTGAACGATAACTTTGTTTAGAAATGTTCGATCGCTTTTACATCTCCGTTAGTTATGAACTGAATTGCATGAAATTCAATATGGGCATAGCTTTAACCATATAATACGCAATGCCAAAAGTTGAATCGAATCGATTCAAAATCACAGTGCCCTTTTCGCATCTCGACCATTTATAAACCGAATTGCAAACTTTTTTACTTATAAAAGTATTTGAATGAAATTTGATAAATAGGCACTTGGAATAAAGGAAAATCAAACGCCAATTTCAAAATTTGGTTTTGCGCATGCGCAGTACCAACTTTTTTATTTATGGAAGAATTTAAACGAAATTTGATACATAGGCACTTGGGATAAAGGAAAAATCAAACGCCAATTTCAAATTTGTTTTGCGCATGCGCAGTGCAACTTTTTTATTTATGGAAGAATTTAAACGAAATTTGATACATAGGCACTTCGAATAAAGGAAAATCAAACGCCAATTTCAAAATTTGGTTTTGCGCATGCGCAGTGCCAACTTTTTTATTTATGGGAAAATTTAAACGAAATTTGATACATAGGCACTTGGCATAAAGGAAAATCAAACGCCAGTTTCAAAATTTGGTTTTGCGCATGCGCAGTGCCAACTTTTTATCTATGGAAGCATTTAAGTGAAATTTGATACTTAGGCGCTTGGAACAAAGGAAAATCTAACATTAGTTTCAAAATTTAGGTTTGCGCATGCGCAGTTCCAACTTTCTTATTTAGAAAAGCATTGAAATGAAATTCTTCTTATAAACTGAAATTGAAGTAGCACGTCAAAAATGGATTGCCCATGTGCAACGCTATCTTTCATATTTGTGGCCGGATTTTTACGATTTTAACAGAAGTTGCATCTTACAAATGGGAAATGAATGCAAGTGGAAATGCGCTTTATGTAAATTCCCCAAAAAAATGTACATCACTAGCACGTACTAATAGACTTTTTTAAGGACGTTAGGTACTAATGCTTGCTTACACAACTTCTACAATTACCATAAACTGGGTCGTATGGAAGATGGTACTAAAGGTAAAGAAACAGTAAACAAGAAACTCGTAAGTCAAAATAAAATAACATATATTTTCCCAAGTGACTACACCTACAAAAGCGTAGGTTTTGCCATACCTAAAATATTACAAGTATATTAATTTTATTATACAAATTTACAAACTTTGGTTTTCAATAAATTTCAACAGGAATTTATATTTAACAGAATAAATGTAAAAATTTTGTATACAACTATGTACATGACAGAAATTTAAAAAAAACAATATACACAATTTTTCTTATCACTATACCACTTCTGATTTATTGTCGAAATTCACATTTGCGAAATGCTACCATCTAAAGAATGCTTGTGAAAGGGACTTGTATGAATATCATACATTTGCTATAAACAGTAATACAAAATATTAAAAAGACGTACTTTTCTACTAATTGTTCTTGCAGGCCAAAGGTGAAGATCTGTTACGAGTATTTTGGGGTGTCTTGAGCACTTCAGCATGTAGGTACGAATTGCCCAAAAAATTATCTTGTATGTATTCTCACCTCGTACCAGAATTCGCATACTTATTGCACACTTAATCTATTTACAAATTTTCGGGGCTAACATTCAGTACGTGTCAATTGCTATAACAAGTCTTTCTAACGTCTGCGAGTATTTCGCTAAAATCGTCATCGTTCTTTTGAACACCATTGGGAATAACTTCATGGCCGTACATGTCTGGATAGTGAGTCATCACTGGTTCTGGTTTAACATTAGTATTAGGCAAGATCACAGATGTATGTTGAGCTTGAAAATTGTAAGTAATATTAGTTGAAATATTATCGTTCCTATGATAATTGTGATTTGAGTCTATCAAGTTTGGATCGTTATTAATTAATTTTAAATATTTGTCAAATTCTCTAGTGTCTACATCACTATCAACATCACTTCGCTCTTCCGCCTGAGGAATATAAGTTTGGACCATGTTGCTTCCGTACGACGGGGGGTAAGAGTCTTGCACGGGTGGCTTATAACTGAGATCATAGTCTGGTTTGTCCAAAATATTACTTTTTAAGCTCGGGTTATATCCTAAGTAGTCGGATTTAGTTTCGTGATCATTCATCATTGGCATACCTTCCTTGTAATAGTCTTTTGCGGGGTAATACTGATGCATATTTGACGAGTAATAATGTATAGTACTAGAACTACCGGCAATCGTATTACTTAGAGAACCTTGCGGTTGATTTGCACCTAACAATTGTTGGTCTTGAGATGTTGCGACCGGAGGATAAAAGGTACCCGTCACAACGTGACCTTGCTCGACGGAGCTTTTATTGGCACACATTACGTACATGCCGTTACCCATCGGTACCGATGTTATTGGCTGAGAGTCTGTGTAATTAACGGCGTTGCTTTGACGGAAATTTTGCACTCTGGTTGTGTAGCCTTGATGAGTGGGACTTAGATTAACATTCGAGTTTAAGTTTGGATTGGTTATGTTGCTCGTGTGTTGTATGTTAGAAATCCGTTGTTGCTTCTCGTCTGCGTAGTTGAAATCCTTTTCTTGTTCGAGGGGTGACAATTCCGGCGTCGGGAGCGCCGACGTAGATTCTTCCTTTCCCTCGTCGTTTGACGATTGCGGGCTTTTCGGCTGTTTTAATAGCATTTTCGGTTCCGGACTGTGCGTAGGTGATGCGTCAGGTGTATGCATCGCGTACGTACTTTTCTGAGGGTAATTCTGCTGGTAACTGACGTAACTGTATTGACCGTATTTGTGTTGAAAATTCACCGGGCTGTATCGCTTGTCGACGGATTGTTGAGAGTAATCGGTGACGTTTGACGAATTTGAGAAATCTAGTGTGCCAAAGCTATTCGCTTGAACACCGGGGGATAAGCTTGCATTTGGAATGTATCCTGTGTAACGGGGTGACATGTTAGGCAGATTTGGGCTTGGTAAAGACGACCCTACTCGCGGCCCCGTACCGGAAGCTGTTCGTTGCTTATTATGTTTCCGGCGTCTTGGCCGGTATTTGTAGTTAGGGTGTTCGGTCATGTGTATTACTCGTAACCTCTCGGCCTCTTCTACATACGGCCTTCTGTCTTGCGGAGTCAGTGAACGCCATTTCTTTCCTAAAACAAAGAAAACGTTTTAAATACTTTCGTTTCAGGTAGGTACTACATTTCAATTAAATTCAATGTAAAAAGTTGTTAAGAAATTTGTAGGTCACAGACGACGGAGCGGAACTTTTATTTGGGCATTTAAATTATTAACATAAATTCATTGATGATTTTAATCAAATGTAGCAAAAACATTTCCTTTGCATTTTGCATTCTCTTTTCACTTCAACAGACTTGTAAGCATTTAAGAATCATTTAACTACAGTCGCTTGACCTTTCGCGCGGAAAGGAATTTTCTTTTGAGTATGTACAAACCAAGTGGGTAAAAAATGTGTACATATACCTATACCGTGTGCAGAAAAGGCGCTTTTTGTCATATTCCAATAAAGTTAAAGACGCAGCATGACATGTTCCGCACGTTATCGAGATATTCGTACACAAAGTTTCCCTTTCTTCTGATGGATGAAAAGCATCCGAAGGAACGGCCACATGCTAAAAGATCACAAAATGTCGAAGAATCGGAAGAACGTTTCAGATCTATCAGAAGAAAGGGAAAGATGTGAACAGTTAAAGCATTCGTAGAATGTGTCCAAGAACAGAAAGGAAGAATCTGAAAACAAATTAAAAAGTCCTTATGCAAACATAAATGACGAGAGCGTATTTTCCTCCTAATGCTGTCCCATTCTCTTCATGAAACGCTTTTAAATCCTTTCGTAAATAGCATTGCTCATTGTCTACATTAGATATTTTATTGAATACCTTCATAAATAAAACATACAGCATGCGTAAACAGTAATTTGGAAACCGGTATTAGTTTTAGTTTCCTTCAAAGTGCCTACATATGATATTTCACTTAACTGCTTTCGTAAATAATAAAGTTGCCATTGCGCATGCGCAAAACCAAATTTTAAGACCGGTGTTAGATTTGCTTGTATTCCAAGTGCCTATGTATTAAATTTCAATTAAATGCTTTCATAAATAAGAAAGTTGGCATTGCGCATGCACAAAACAACATTTTGAAAATGTCGTTAATTTTACTTATATTCGTAGTGTTTACATATAAAGTTTCAGTTAAATAGCTTCATAAATAAAAAAGTTAGCATCGCACATGAGTTAAACCAAATTTTTGACACTGCGCATGCGCAAAACCAAAAAATATGGGTATGCACGGAATCCTTGAACCAAACCCTTTCAAATGAGCCCTATATCGCCAAAATCGGTTCAGTGGTTTAGAAGGAGTACGTGTGACGGACACATGGACGGATGGACGGACGTCAAAGTGCGGCCAATAGCGATTTTTCACTTTGAGGAAAATACGCTAAAAACGATTCGCCCACATTTTATCTTTATCTCGCCATCAAGATTATGCGAGGGGGCCTTCCACCCTCTAAAACCCTTCTCCCTTCTTGATTCAAAAGATGGGCAGTGGATATCACGTCAAGCATTCGTCCGCCCCGTCTTTATCTTATCTGGCTACCCCTTTAATACTTTGGCCTCGCCTCGAATTCCCTTGTTCTAGCTATTTCCGTCTTCTTCTGTCTCTCTCACCTCCTGTACCTTAGGACCACATGTCCGGCATTATCGTGTTTCCCGCAGTCTACGCATGTCTCTTCCTCTATTTTGCCAATCCTCTTGTGGTACGCCGCATTCTGCCCATTCTCTGTCAGAAATTGGGTAACGTGGTAGGAGACCTCTCCATGTTTCCCATTTCCCCACGTCTGGGGCTAAGGTATTCGTCCACGATTCCCTCTTAGCCCTTTCTTCCTGTCACCACTTCATAACCTCTGCTCTGTCCCTCTCCTGGGCCATCGGTCTCACCAGAACATTAAAGGCGGAATGCATGCCACTACATAGGCGTCTTTAATGGGCACGGTCGGGTCTACGGACGCTATTTTAAGTATCATATGACGTTCAGCCCTATCCAATGCCTCTCTTACTTTCCTAGTGTTTTTGGCAACTCCCCAGATGTCATATCTGCACAATTCCTGCGTGTGCCCTTCCACAGTTTCTGAACAGCTTTTGCAGTCGGACAGCCACATCCTTCGCTCTTCGAATAATTTCTTCGGCGTGCTTCACGAACTTGAGTTGCGAATCTATGGCGAGTCCTAGCAGTTTAATGTCTTTGTCCAGTTGGATGGCTTTTCCACCTACTTCTAATTCCTCGAAGGGGAGCTTTTCCCTTCCCGCAACGAAGGCAGCTTTTGTTTTTTCTGGTACCAGTTGTAGTCCGTTTTTACTCACCCACGTCCCCACCCCCTTTGTCATTTCTTCTGCTATCTCCGGATTTCTGTCACTTCCAACTACAGTTAGGTAGTCTGTATTTGCCGATAGGGTCACCGCAGGTCGCACTGTCAGGTTTCACCACACCACACCACAACACCATCATAGGCAAGATTCCACAGTAGGAGCCACAGAACGGATCCCTGTGAAACTCCCCCGTTGGTTTCAAACTTGTACGTTCTTCCTGACGGGAGCACTATTTTTTGCCAAGTGATGCCATGATAGCCACCTCCCTAGTCCTCCACGTTCCGTCCTAGGCGTCCTTCACGATGTGAACCTCTCTCGCCCCCCGTCCTTTCTGGAACCCATACTATCGACCCGATATCTGTATGTGGTCCTCGAACCTTCTAGCTACGACTCCTTCGTACAGGTTCCCAACGTGGCTTATAAGTGAAATTGGTCTTATACTTCCGACCTCTTTTGGGTATAAAACCACATTGGACTCCTTCCATGTCGCGTGATACTCACCTTTTTGCATTATAGCATGCGATCAAAAATGAGTAGCTGGCTAGCCACCTTTGGAATTTTTGTTTACATGGGAAATCTTGAAATATTGCCGGCCTCATTAACGCAACCTGCTTTACTAACTCCGGCGGTATTCCATCAGGTCCTGGCGCTTTCTCACGATTTCCTGTAAGGTTATTTCTGGAGGGGTTACTCCATCCCTCCACTTGGTTCGCCTCTCATTGGGAAGAGAACTTCGACTTTGTTAATTGTCTGTGCGGCTATTTGCTACGCTCTCCCCCACGGGCCCTTGTCTAGCTCATCGCACGGCGTCCTCCATCGTTCCCTCTTTTTCCTCTAGAAAACTTTTCTCATTGTCTCACGCTCATCTCTCAGGATATTTATTCATCAGTCTATGTTCCGCCGGATCTGGGTTTTCTCTTCTTCTGGCTCTAGCTATCCTCCTCCTCGCCGCCACGCAGGCTCATCTGACTTCAGCCGCTTCCTTGTAAAAATGTTGCTGGGTCAACCTGGCGGTGCAGTTGACGTAACTACAATTCTGTGGTTCTCTTAACTGCAAAATGCGACTCCTGTACGCTAGAATATCGCACCGTAATTGTCTGCCGAACGCCTGCGTGCGTGGTATGTGTAAAAAAACAGGCCCTAAGATCCCCTCTCTCTTTCAGATTTGTCCATTGGGGCCCAAATAAATGTTATTTTATTTGTCAATGAACAATATTGTGTTTAATTGAACCCTAAATTTTACGACCCACGATTTTCATATTAAATTTGATATTCGTGTCCAGAGTTATGCTGGATGATATTCAAAATTGGTTTAAATAATTCCTAGAAGTTGTAGGAAGTGATCAAGGCTGCTGAGATTCCTAAATTAATAAAATCAAGTTTATCGAGAATTTTTTCATTATAGCGAAGGCCGAACGGGTTCAAGTTTAAGTTTATTTAATTGAGCTAGCTGGACAGGAATTTTTTGGGTCACTTAGTGACCGTTTGGCATTGCACACAGCAGTATCGATTCGCGAAGGATTCATATCGATAGTACTCTTCGTTCTCGAGTTATAGACGGACAAAACGAGCACAAGGGAACTTTTTTGAAAGCTGGAATGTAATAACCTAAATATTGCGATGTGAAAGATCAATTGTGGTGTGGTCCTGGAGAAATATTAACAAAAAAAAACAGTTTCCCATTTCCATAAACTTAAAATTCAATTTCATGTGAAAATAGACATACAATCATACACAACCCATCAATAACAATCGGCCGACAAGGGCGAAGGATATATAGGACACCCTTGATAAGAGAATTAACGAGTGTGTAAAATCCATTTTACTTTTAATTCCACATAATTCATAGCCAACGAGAGGTTGTAAAGTAGTACTACACGTATATTGAATGGTTTAATAGAAGAATTATAAACGTCTTAAATTTCCGAAATCTTTTGTTAAAGCTGACAGCCTACCACTTCTCTCGAGATAAATTTAGGATCGTTAATAGTTTAATAAATAAGCATTGTCGGCTTATGACAGAAAACACGTGTATATAATTTTGTAAAGAGCAGGTTTTCAAATTCATTGACCAGAAATAACAAGCATATGAATGAAGTTGCCACGCATGCTTTAACACATCAATTAGAAAAAAAAGGGTTATTATAAATCATAATCTTTACACAATGTGGCGACATTCGCTAATAAAATCCCCAATAAAAACAAATATATTACTACAATGTCGTAATATATTCAAATTAAATACATTCGGTCAACCGTAGGTGTACATCTTCGGACTTCAGAGAAAACACGTTAAAGATATATTAAACGAAATGAGGGTGTCAAATGTAATAAATAATAAACGAATCTTGTTAATGAGAAAATATTACAACTTTAAAATGATTAATCGATTTTTAAACTCTTCAACAGAACTACATGTTCAAAAACATCTGGTTCACATCAACTTTTTTAAGTAGGCATTTCCGTGTTTAGTATTGTTAGGTGCGCCATGGTGTAATTTCTTCTTAAGGCTTTGGTGATGATATTGCAAAAAAATATTTAAATCGTTATTATTTCGTTGGGTTATTCACATTTACTGTCAAGAGGATTTAGTTATACGAACACGGTCTATTTTTTACCTTTGTTCCTATACCTAGTTTAAGTTTGGAACGTAATAAATCATCTCGAAGTCACCAGCTTTTTAAAGATACTCTTTTGACAATGATGAAATTTAATATAGCACGAAATATATCTTTGACACAAATGCTCCTTTCGATCTAGTTTGTGAAA